ATCAACTTTAAGAAATAAACGACCGATTATAACAAATTTAAAACTAGCTATTTGATTGAACGAAACAGAATGAAAGTTATTGGAAGATGCGGATGGGAACATTTTTCAAAAGGGATGGAAAAAAAGTTTAAAAAAATGGCCGTGCGATTAATGTTAACCGTAAGTGAAGCAATAAAGAAAATAACAGTAGATTTTATCAATTCACTTGTGAAAACATTTTCACTGATCCAAAATTCAATATTAAACTTTCATTTTAGATGAAATTAAATGATACTGAATTGTTGAATGAAATACACACCCTTCAAATGGAAGTTGGTTGGGGCAATCCTCTTGCTTACTGGGTAACGTCTTGTTCACAATGATTAATGGTTATGAGGAAAAAGAAAACAATAAATGTCTCATATTGAATACACGACTTTATTCATTATTTATGAATAGTTTTGTTTCAATTTGATTGAAGAAGTGTAGAAATAATTTATGTTTCACTGAAGAAAACTTACATTTCGATAACTTTTTTACTAAAGGTTGTACGATTTTATCCATGTGATATAATTTAATCTAATGAACAGGTTTTACTTTTTCATGAAGATATATATGATTATTTGGATTTGTAGAATGCATTTATTAATAATAATGCAAAATAAATAAACGGTTCGTTAATGACTTGAAAACAAAGTAGATGTACGAAACGAAAGATCTAAGACACAACTACAAAATAAGAGATAACGATGTGAATTTTGATGTAGGTAAATGGAGGTTACTAAAAACGACAATGATATTCGGTTAAGAGTAGTAACTTAATGATAATAGTGATGAGAATTGAATTCTAGTGAAAAAAAGGATAATGATTGAGATGCTATGATGTTATGGCCAGTCACATGTTCCAGAACGGAAAATTTTGTAGTTCTGAGTTTTATTTTACTGAACAATGTGCTCTTTTAAAAGTTAAGAGAATTTCCTTGATGAATGACATACGTACCATGCGTTACAAGAACAGGTGAACAAATATGTGCAAACATGCATATATAAACCTTAATGATTTAAATACACTAAAGACAGGTATGAAAGTGGTACCTAAAAAATGTTCAGATTATTTATTTATTTGAACATACAAATACTGGTACAAAGGGGCACCAAATAAATATGCGCCACACAAGTCACTTGATTTGTGTGTGGGCTATGATACTGTCCGGTTGTACAAACCGACTCTTCTACCGGGAATCGAACCCGGACCTTCCGCATGACAGGCGTAAATGCCACTATACTATCAAGGAAATATTTGAGTTTTAGAAAAAATACTTCATATAAAAGAAGATCATTTAGTTTCTGATACACTAAATGCTATATGGGGCCCAGGTTTCCACTGGTACAACAAATGTCGATGGAGATTCAGTAATTCATCGACTGATGATTTACCTGATAAACAAGTTGGTAAGGGTCAATCGAAATCATCTTACAATTTCGTCAAACACCAACCCACCACGGTTGATAGAACTTCAGAGATAATTGAAATGGCTGATGCACTCAGCTAATTCACTCCCTATAATTTGTTAAAGCATTGACTTAGACCAGTCCTAAAGAAATATTCTGCATTTGCAGTAATAGTGGGACGAATCACAAACATAGTCAGTAACAACGAGAAAAAATGTATTCAATTTTGAAAGTGTATTCTCCAAAAAAATAAATAAGACGATTATAATATAAAAGACAAATTGTCAACTGAATGAAAAATGCTAAAAATAAAACAAGAAATTACAATTCAAAGAAATCATTATCAACTGTGTTTACTTCAGTGATAATATATGATTATAATCATAGAAATAGAAAATAGGGATTAAATAGTCATAATAATAATAGTAAGAGTAAGTTAATCTTATGCATGTATGGTATTCATTTATTATTTACTAATCACAGTTTCTGGTGTAAATATGAAAAAAATTAAATATTCACTTTGTCTTATTCACTGATAGTGATTTACGTTGAACTGATGACACACGCCAATTTTCAGTATGTTCAGCTAAACTATCATACCATTGATCCGGTAATAATGGAAAATAACTATGCAATTGATAAAGAAAACGTTCACGATATAAATCTGGTGTTAATATAGTTGGCATTGGACCTTGTGCACTAGTTATTGTTTGTTTAATAATCATTTCTAAACGTTTATCTAGTGTAAATTTACGTAGATAATCAATTAGACCAATAATAAGTTGATTAGTTGTTGTATCAACACCAACTAATAGAGAATAATCCATAATAAATAGATTCGCTAAAAATGCAGTATCCATATTTAGACAATGTGAAAGAGCATTCTGAAAATTAAGAAAACAGATAAAAGAACCAGGGAATAAATCTTTAAATGTACACACACGACAACAAGTTAAAACGTGTTACTGCTATTAAACAGATATACCAAACTATCTTTCTACGCTAAACAGAGCAAATTAGATAAATAGTAAATGAGAATAATCTAAACTTTTGTATATGAATGCAAAAATGTCCTGGTTAGTAAAAATTATTTATTAAATGGAGAAACGGAATACAAGCGTATATAACGGACCCGTGTTAGTTTACAGCTGACCATAGAGTTCATAGCAGTCGAACGTGGAAAGTCTAAAGCTTACGTAACTGATAGCAATAACAGTGATACCTGAGAAACGAAGTTCATAAGTTCCACTTTCATAACAAAAGCAGTGAGAGATGTAAGAAAGAAGAGCAAACTCATAAACAGGAATGCATAATATATGTATAATAATGTATAGGCTACAAATCCAATCAATCTACTTGAGTTTGCGGAGGTGGGTGGTAAGTATGAAAAGCAGTCAAAACCAAGTACACTGAAATGTACTTAGATAATTTTCTGTACGTTTACGTTTAGAGCAGAGATAACGAAAACATGAGAAAAAAACGAAATGAGATGGAAATAATTATCTCTGATACCTCTAAAACAAAATCCACAGGTACACAAAATACTTTCTAGTTTACCGAAATTTTGGTTAAATTGCACAGACTTTTAATAATCGAACTGTAGACATAACTTTATATACTTAAACTAATTTCCGCTTTAAATACCTTCATAATTGTCCGAGGCTCAAGACTATAGGAGTTTCGATGGTCTAAAATTAAGTCAATAAACCAAGGTCATTGGCAAACAGTCTTCAATTAACTAAAAATTGCCTGGTTTATTAAACAATGTAAAAAGGTTCGAGCAGTGTTAAAATCAAACAATCGTCAATGAAAGCTGTTCACTAATATAAAAAGGTTAATCAATTTTATTGCATTCCGCAGATAGCATTATTTATGTTAAGATTGCAGGAACACCTTGCTGATGAGTGTCAAAAAGTGTGGAACCTACGTTCATGATAACTCGTACACTACCCCCAACTAATCAATACATGATTGAATTCAAACAGCTCAGAGTATATATCTACCGCTCTTTTTATCGAGCAGGTAGATTTTTGTTCCCAGAAAGAAAAGTAGGATAGGCATTGAATGTGTTACAATAAATTATATCTCATAAAAAGCATGAACTACCTCATACATCAGTCAGAAAAATGTAAGACCTCAATTAATTCCGCATCCATATAGTGTTCCACTTAGCATAAAAAAATACAAAGAGTATAGTTATGAAATGTATCAATGGTTGTAAAAAAAAACATTTTAAGATCTCTCAAGGAAAATTATTCTTCTAAGATGTGGGAGGGTGCCGATTGTCTGGCTTTTTATAACTTAACTTCCAACTCACAGGTTGCTATGGTTATTTAGCTGGGATATTTATTTAAACATTATGCTGTTAACTAACGCAGATAAACTTCCACAAAGAGGACGTGTGATTTTTTGTTTTAATCAAAGATGTCTGCATATAGAGGGTTTCAGTAGATGGACAAAAAGAAAAAAAACTTTATGATGAATGACAAATCAACATTATATAGTTTGGACTAAAACAATAAAGCGCTGTATCGAGTGCTTTGAAAAATTATAGTATTTTCCTACTAAAAAATATTCGATCATTTTTGTTTAATGAATGGTGTTTAATAAAAGAGACTAACCTTTGAATGAACTCTTAAATACAACGGATTATCTATTGAAGCATTTAGTAAATTCTGATCTAGAAGAACAGGTACATTATGTTTAACTGTAGTTGTCTCTGAAGTTAAACCACTATCTGATACTGTTGTTGACTGATTGCATGTAAACGAGTGGTACGATGCAATACCGGAATTAGTTGTACTTTCATCAGTTGTTTGTGCTAGATCTGTAGGCATAGTAGTAGAGTTTGCATTAACTCCATTATTGTTGATATTATTGAAGGATTCATCTACCAGTCGTTTACGTAGTGAGCCTTTCAAGTCATAAATATATGCCAGTTGAGTACGTCCATAATATAAATTTTCCATTACAAGTACATCGAATCGATGGGCTTCACCTGATGTAGAATTTTTAAATCCAACATGGAAAATGCCTAGTATTCTTGATAAAACACAAAGACGCTGTAAAAGAATTTTTTAAAACAAGTATAATTAATTGGGTAGTTTTAAAATAATTGTCACATAAATCACAATAAAATATGTTATAAAGTGAGGAACTAGTGAAACAAAGTCAATTTATTAAAGTAAAAAAATCACTACAAATGAACGTTTACGTTGATGTGGATGAAACGAGTGTAAGAATGAATGCTGTTCAGTAACTAGTATAGGGTTGTGGAGATTGTTGAGTTTTAATTAAGATGAAGAACCGATCAATGTTATACCACCATTGAAAACCTAGAAGCGCTGGACGGCCGTTTCGTCGTAGTATGTAACTCATCGGCAGTGCGCATCCACGATTCCGCACGCGAAACTCAAATCCAGGACCTTCGGTCTGGCACGCGAATGCTGTTCAGTAAAATAAGTCAAACTTTACAAAACTGATGTGTGGCTATTGAAAGGAAATGTGATTGGCCACTAAGCGTGGACCAACAAACACTCAGTTTACTGTCTATTGTGCACATTATTTCCTTATTATTATTATTATTATTATTATTATTATTATTATTACTATTATTATTGATTTTTACTTTGGACTCACTGAGCGCAGACTACTAGTAATTGTGTTGAATACAGTATTGTCTAACCCATGCTCTGGTTTGATATTTTTGGTCGGGAATCGTGAATCTAGTTTAAGGTAATTCCGTCTGTGTATAACATATCGATCGACTATCCAATCTAATGGTAATAGAATATCGATCACCGGTTGCATCATTCTATGGTAGATGGTAGTAAAAAGTGGCAAAACAGTAAATAATTTATCTTCATCTTTGTATCTAAAGCCTCATGACAACAAAATAGAATACGATAATAGAAACTGTAACCAGCAACAACTTTGAGTTCAAACACCGGATTAAATGTATGATTTCCACTCTGTCCATTACAACCAAAGCTCTGCATAGTATAAGTAACCACGTCCCCCTTCATAAACATGAGGTGTAGCTATAAATCGGCTGAATGGAGCTGTATATGATAAACCAAGCTAACTGTTGTAAGCAGAGATGGATGATGGCCAACAGCAAAATCTAGGGCCAAAGTTTCGTCCCATTTCGAGACTCATTAGCAGGATTCATCTGACAAAGTTTTAATTCATTCGTATCCCAATAAAGATATTTAAAATGGCAAGAACGGTAAATTATGATTGGTGTTTCTTCTAATTTTTAAACGTTTTAACTAAATAATGTACAAATATAACTAAATAGGTCAAAATTAAAATATATATTTCGCGAATACATATTATGTACGTATATAAACTTTGCATTATATGTGAAGTATTAGTTAATGGAAAATAAAACAGTCAACACATTAAGTGATTAAATAAAATTTAATAAAATATATTCTATGAAATATGTAGCATCTTACTTGTTCAAGTGCTGCAGTAATCACATAATCGAAATAATCCTGAGAGATTTCATGAAATGTTTTCATTTCAATTGAAGATAGTTCTTTAATTACAAATCGTTCATCTGTGAATTACCAAGTAATAAAAAAAAGTTCAATTATATCGCCATATATATGACTAACGTAAAAAATATACTCATATACCGTCAGATGTATGCATAATAGTATATTGGTCCAAAAGTAAACGTGGCAACTTGGTCAGATTATTTTTCTACGGAACCTAAAAACTGTCCTTAAAAATAAAACGTCGAACAGTTTTCAGTTATTGGTTTTTACCATCTGTTTGAGCCCAGTATACACCCCTTTGAATATCTTATACTAACAGACGGTAACATTATGAACTGACAATATCGCTATACATGTTAGTGCATAATCTTATCTAAATTTAAAAGCATGATAAAGAGAGTGAGACATCAAAGACAGAAGTGGATGGACAAATCAACATTCGGGAATTCAAATACTAATGTACATATTTAAGCTACCCACATCGAGAATGGACAAAATATGTACTATCTATAGTATTATTCAAATTATGAATTCTATTGTAAATAAAAATATAATATGACAACTACCTAACACATGTGTCAAAACATACCTCGAGTTTTCATGAATAAGGAACCTGATTTACCACCACGTGCATCCCATTGATAGCATCGTGATAAAGAATGTATGAAACTATTAAAAAAAGAAAGAAGTTTCATTATCAATTTATTTAGCAATCACCATAAAAAAGTCCAAAGATATACGATTGTAATATAAATAGGACTTCGGATGGAAGACATGATAACTAGCAGTTGACTGAAAGGAATCCATTATTTGAATGTACTGTTTATATAAAATATATATTTCTCTGACGAGTTAATTTTCAGTAATGCAACGTAAAATGCGAGATTAATTATTCCCGAACTTGAGAAAAGACGTTCGATATAATCTATTCGCTTAGTCAAAAAAGCGATATATTCAGATGTCATCTTTGGATAAGCGCTGTAAAACGAAGTGAATATTAGGTCATATTAATTAAAAAAATGTTTTTCAGATTTGTCTAACGGTTTTGGTTCGAATCACAACAGAGGTACTCATGATTTTCATTACTTTTCAAAATAATTAATTTTTACTTGTTTTGTATCGTCAGTTGTATGAAATAAAGAAATTAATCAGAGTATGACAACGGATTCATTCGAGATAATAAAAATACATCATTAACAGGATATTTTTCTGTATTAAACGTATAAATAGCAATCGAAAACGACCCAAAATGGATATAAAACACGAGTAAAAACATTTTCTAAAGCATCTAGGACAACATTCGTTAGATTTTAGGAAGTAGTCCGCGGGGAACCACAGATCTAGGTTTCACACCAAGTGCCACTTGTCAGCAAAACGTACGTGTAATCTTAACGGGAATGATATTCAGCCTGGGACTTGAAACTGCATCAGTCGTTTTCACAGTCTAAGATACTATTACTGAGCTATTTAGACAGAGTCTTATCCACTGTTGGATTGAGATATTTACGGCTGACCACCCACTGAGTAATGACCAGTGTCATGCATCTATTACTTTAGTGTTGATCAGATTTTATCAATCAAACTGGAAACTGGGCACTTGTGTAACTGACTCGATATCACAAAACAAGATGCTACTTTCATTAAAAACTAATAACTGTAATGATTAATAATTAGCTGTTTTCTTTTCCACTACTTGTTTAACTAAAGCTCAAACAATGTTATTATTTAACAAGATTAAATAAAAGGATAAATTATTTGTCGGCCTATGACAGCCCAGTGTTTACTCGATTATTACGGAATCCATCTACAAATGTGATGATAACGTGCACATAAAGAATATGAACAAAAAAGAAACGCTATGAATTAATATGTTTGAAATAATTGCAAGCTAAACACATATGTACTTCATTTTATTTACATTTGATAATTATATTTATATACCTTTAACTGAACAGTTTGAATATATGAAGAATTAAAATAGTAATAATAATAATAAAATATAAAGCGACAGTAAATAAACATGATATCTCTTACGACAGATCTCCATTAGGCATTATAAGTTGACGTAAACGGAAAAATTCAGAGGCATAGTACACACAACAGAAGAAAGTAGTTGAACTATCCGAAAACTCTGTGGAGGAGGGACAATAATAATCGTGATAATAAACAGCAGAATGAAGAATTAGAATTTGAGAACAAAAGCCATATTTAATTTCTTATGCATGCTAAGAGTAAATGGTTAAATTCAGACGACAATAATAATAACAATAAAAAAGTGCGATTCCCTGCCAAGAGAAATAAGTTTTATACTCGTTGAGTAGATAAAACAGAACTACCATGCTGAGATTTTTAGGAATGATGGTCCAGTCTTAGAAATTAGATAAACTGAGATATTAGCTAAAATCTGGGAACCGGACGTCAGCCCATTTGATTAGTCTCGATAGCTGATCGTCTCAGTTTATAAGAAACAACAAAAATCCTCTTGTGACAATCACCTAAAATGTTAACCTCAAAAATATTTTGACGTCTAGCTGAAGCTGGTGAAGAGCAAATCCGAGAAAACCAGGCTGGTATCGAAGTTGGATGTGGATGTATAAACTAAATATTCGTCTTTCAGTAGATTCTCGGACGTCGACATACTATCAACATTTAATTATGGTTGTATTCCCTGACATTACGGCAGCGTTCGACTCCGTTGATCGTAGGGTTTTGTGGCAGTCTGTCACTGAAAGGTGTACAGAAGTAGTATACTAACATTGTACAGCCTCTCTACTCCAAAAATAATGTTCGAGTCAGAGATTATGGCAAACCGTCATCGGAATCAGTCACTTCAAATGGTGTCCCTCAAGACTGTCAGTTTTCTCCATTTCTATATAACTTTGTCATAGATATGCATTAGCAATAACACTTTCCTCGTATGACTTTTCAGGGACTGATCTATCGAGAGATTCATTTGTCGACTTAGAATACGCAGATGATATAGTTCTGTTTGATGAATATGCTTATAAAATTCAGTCTCCTGATCATTTTAAGCGACAATGCAAGCATTTTTTGGATGCGATTATCTCTCTCAAAAAGCAAAACTTTACTTCAGGATTGGCTGGCGTCATCGCCTGAATTAATGACTGGATCATCCCTGATGGTCTCGTGTCTGAGGAAACCTCATCACGAATTCAGAAGGTTTGACTAGCTTTGCCAACTTGCTTCACTTGTGGCGCAGGTGGGAAATCCGTCTTCCGACCAAAGGATGAGTTTACTGCGCAACAGTTCGCTTCGTTTCACATTATGGATGTGGAGCATGGCAATTAAGAATAGAGGATATTCGTGAGTTACTAGTATTCGGTCACGGACGTCTTCGAAACATTGCTCGTGTATTTTGGGACAACGGAGTAAGAGATGACTAGGGTAGGAATAGGGTTCTAACATTTGACCGAGGGTGAAGATATGATAAACACATCTCCGATCAGAAAGTAAACCAACCTCCCCCACGTTAATTTTTTCCAGGTCTTGGGCAATCTGCAAAGCATGACTGAAGATAATAATTTGGATGCAACCAGAAACAGGGTTATCCCTCAATAGTTATCGCATTTTTCAGGATAAGGACAACTATAGGCTCATTCCACGACGTTGGAACACTATCTAACTGCTAGAAGCCTAAAAACAACTAAATGATTACCTTAACCGGAAGGTCGCCACCGTCTTTGATAAAGATCGGAGATAGGTCATCTAGGCCTGGCGATTTGCAGGGCTGCTGGATTTGAAGTTCCTTGCAAACTTCTACCTCGTTAGGTGGGTTAGTCATCACAGTCCATAGAGGACGGGATAGTTTGATCGATGTCACCAGAGCAACAAACCAGTTGAACTGTTACTTGAAAAACTCTACCCATCGTCCAAGACGTCGGTAGATATCATTGGTTGGCATCACATCAGCTTCACATATCGTTTCACTCACACGACTTCTTGCTGCCAGTGACTCAAATGAGTTGATAAAACCTCCTGTTGGTGTCAGAAGCAGCTACTGTTTCCAACTCTTTAGCACACCACGATCAACAGGCTTCTCGGTCCTTACGCAGACTTTGCACAATTTCATTACGTGACAATCTTCGTTTATTGTTAAAATCGCAATTAATCATAGTAGACATATGAGTTGTAAGAAGCCTGTAGAAACCCACTACTTGTAAGAGACACTTTTCGCGAAGCCACAAGTGACTTTACTCGCCACTTTCATGACGTCATGCAATTGCAACCAATGCTTATATATAACTTTCGGTGGGATGGTAGCTAGCCATGAACCTAGCTCGCTTTGATATTTAGTTGCAACAACAGCCGAAACCGATTAGCTGACATCGACTCGTTTAGGACGATGAGTTTGTTGGTCGTTGAAACGTAAAATAAGATAAGTGCAAACAATGGTTGGTCAGAGTCCAGATAAGTAGCGCGACAATCGCTTTACGTCCTCTCAATTTCGTAAACACTCCGCCGCGGCGAGAAGGCAGTATGACTTTCCTGGCAGTAGCCGTATACGCGAGGCTATGCGAGCATGCTCGGCGTACCAGGGCATTTAATGATGTTTGAATTATTAGATCAACCAGTTTCAATGCGTTTGTACTTGATACTTTGCAGTCTCCCATTCTCCCATAACTCGAACTCCCTTCAGAGTCTGCTTTTTGATCAGAAGTCAGCTAATATTAACCTATTCCGATTTTTTAGAATTATTATTCAGCTATTATTGGTAGTTCCACGTTTTTCATTGCTTCATATCTGTTAAGGAGAACAATTATGTCTATTATTTCTGATCCGTAAATTATTTATATCCTCCCATTCTTCTCTAGTCTCTTGGTCATTACGCAACCTCCTTGTGAAACTTGCAATTTCCGAACATTTTGTGGTGCAATCTCTTTCTTTTCTTCTATAGACAAATATAGTTGTGAAACCACTATACGATTGTAGATTTATTAAATGGTATGGTTGAGAAGAAAATGTTTTTCGCTGCGTTGTTTCTAATTCTTCTCTTCAATTAAATAATGGATTGCTTAATTAATTATCTTTTATCATAATTACGATCTTAGAAACTATCATGTATAATTTTAAATTATGTACTCAACATGAACTTGGTGATTCTTTCCAATAATCAATACCCAGGTATGACTAGGAAACCAAGGGAGAATTAATTAGAAAGTGTGGAGACGGCTCAAGTTGTACACGGTATAGCAAAACATCCAAGTTCTAGATATAATAGAGAGAATATTCTTCACTCACACTTTTTTAAATATTCAATAATTTATTTGCATTATTTCCAAAACTTATAGAACAACTTACGTATTTTAATATGACGACTTCGAGACCCATTGGATTTGTCAGTTGTAGATGTTGATAATGAAGTAGTATGAGAACTGGCAGATATATTATGAGTATGTGTAGGCGGTTTTTGATCACGCAATGCACTTACATTTGGTGAAGATGGTATTCTATTACATTCTTCTTAATTAAAAGGAAAAATTATATAAAAGATAATTTGTGGTAATTTTATCTATCGAGTAAAGCAAAATAACGCAAAGTATTCGAAAGAAATAGATAAAACTTCTATTCTTATTATGTCTGTGCTAATATTATTTACAATTTTATTGTCCTAATAATAGTCCATATTCGTAACGTGTTTAACTTACACCAAATAATGTTTATCAATCTATGGATTGAGTTTTATTCAATCAGACTTAGTGAAGGGCTGTGAAGAATCTGTCGAATTTCCATACTTCATGATATAACTTATCTAAAAGAATGTGCATTTGGAAAATTGATCGTCCGAAGTCTTGAAAACCTAACCGAAATTCTGTAAATTTCATTTCAAACTGATTACATCAGTTTTTTTTTCAAGAGAGTCATTTAGATGCATTATTTCTCTTTGCTGTAAAATCGTTTTAAACACGTATATTCATTGGTTTTCTTTGAGTGTCAACTCGTAATCGATTTGAGACCAATATGAATACACAGATATCTTCATCCTTGAGTTTAGCTTTACTAAATAGCAAGTGATGTGTAATAATAGGAGAAATGAGAAAATATTAATCTTTTCAATAGGGGACATAAGAATTTAAATACTGGCACATTTGATTTACCTTGTGATGTTTCTGACTTTTTAGAAGAACCATCATCATTTGGATTCGATAGGGAAGTGTCATCATATAGAATGTTTAGTCTTTCTTTTTCACCAATACATTTTGCACCAGATATATTCTCGGTTGTAACAGCTGACTCATTATCCTTAAAACTGAAAAAAGAAACAACAAAAACGTGCTAGTGTAATTATGCGAATAAATGAACGCAGATTTAATAAATTTACAAAAAGACCCATACAGATGAACAAGTTCTTACACTTAGCTTTTCAATATCGTGCCCCCCCCCAATTATCTATACAAGGCAAGCAACGGTGTGACCAAAGAAAATATTGTTTTCCTGTATAGTTATGTGTTTGTTAGGATAGTCGGAAAAAGAGACCAATAATTATCATGTTAATTTCAATGGTGTCCTTGGACTTTAAATGTACATTTCCTATTGGTCGATATTTGTTCACTTGTTGAATATTGTACAAAATGTTGTTTTCTATTTTATGGTACGGTGTGGTATGCTTGATTGGTATATAAACAAAGTATGTTTGAAATATAATGATTGATAACCCAGAGGCTGTGACTTGTGTTCTTGACTCAACTGGCTAGGACAGACAGCGAGGCAGGGCCAATCAGGGCACTAGGTCGTCCTTACATGTTTACGTGTCCACTGTCACAGAAGCGATCGATATAAACGCTGCGTATCTAAAACCTGCAGTCACACACCCGTTACAACAGTGTTCATCGTACATGACTTTAATGTTTATCGACCGACTTTTTGATGTTTAAAATGCCACTCATTTTTCTAACATCTCTTGACAAAGTAATTACATTCATATTAGGTAGTATCAGTCGTTTTCGATCTAAAATTAAACAGAATGTCCTAAAATCAAAAGTCCAAAGGTGAAGTTGCATATTCACAAATGATGCAGAATTTTTCTGTCATTTATAGTATAGGACCATGATTTATTTAACAGTTCATTAACATAACAGAAATGTGCTAATCTGTCGCCAAATGGCAACCACTATGAATTTCTATAATCTTCAGCCCTGATCGAATCTAATGAATCATATTTAAAAAGTACACATTAAACTAAGAAACGCAATATTGTTTAACTGATCTCGAATATTTCTATCAACTACCTTTAACTATATAACTTGAAAAATATCCTGGTTTTTGTCAGTTTCAATAAAAAGTAAATGTCGATAATACATGAAATGTAACACTAATATTATTTCAAGTGTTAGAACTCATTCAAAGTTCCATCAATGCTATTAAGGAGTGTCACCTAGAGATAAAAGCACTTGAATCAAAACACTGATAATCTAATTCAGAGTACTTGGATAGTATCATACATAAACAATACTGTTTTGAATTTGCGTACATAAATCTACCCGTGATACATGGGGTTTCGTAAACTTATATATAAATTATTACTATTTATAGAACTGGGATTGTCATTAAAAATTTCTAGTTAGTAGGAAAGAAATTGTTTTTGAAGCTTGAACAAGAATCTTTTTGAAAAATAGACCATTAAACGTACTTAGAAAGAGCAGCCTGACCTAGCTGAACATCAGAACTGTGCTGCAGTGAGCCTTGAAGGGTAAAATGTAAATCCACTAACTTTCTTTCGTATTCTCGTGTACTAATAACATATGAAAATTAAAAAGAAACATTTAGAAAAAAGGAATTAATAAAATAAGTACTCATTTTTCCTTGATTATGGATATTATACATTACGTAGTTAATTTATATTAAATGAATACGGGTCTAATAGAATAACTTCATTCAATGTATCAAGAATACTGATCTGTACATAAGATATGGCTATAACTTAAAACTTGTTGTGGATGCGCAGGAATAGACCAATAATTATCATGCTAAGTCCAATGGTGTCCTTGGACTTTAAATGGGATTTCCTATTGGTCGATATCTGTTCACTTGTTGAATATTGTACAAAATGTTGTTTTCTATTTTTATGGTACGCTGTGGTATGCTTGACTGGTATATAAACAAAGTATGTTTGAAATATAGTGATTCATATCTCAGAGGTTGTGACTTGTCTTCTGGACTCAACTGGCTGGGCTGGACAGGGAAGCAGGACCAATCAGAACCCTAGGTTGTCCTACGTGTTTGTGCGTCTTTGGTCCGATCAATAATTCGCTTACCCCTTAATCTGCACAATTATTTTTCCACAGTCATAACAAAACTGTTAATAAAATCAAACTGCAACATAACTGATGAAATTAATTTAAGATAAGAGGATACTGAAGCAGTAACGTAATGATTCGCAAATACTACGTTGACGTCTGAAAATTTAGTCCAAGCACTCTCGTAGTACCACTCCACTCCTTACAGCGAAAATGAAGTTGTAATCTGAGGATATAAAGCAGTACACAGCCAATAACTTAGAAAGAGATGGTTATCCACCGCAGACAATGCATAGAAGCTGAGTAAAATCATGAACTGATTGAAGTTAGATCCTGACTCAAAGGTCTAAAGGTTAAGCGGTCGCATGCACTACTGAAGGTCCAGAATGATTACCCATGAGTCCCACATTAGAACGAAACAGCTTTTCAGTCCGTCCAGACTCTTAATGGTGATTTAACTAAGATCAGCTGGTGAATAAAACTATAAAAATTCTAAAATCTCCGAAATTTCCTCGATAATTATAGAATCTTTCATGACGATAGAGTTGCATGCTTGAGTTCAACTACGTATTAAAGATATATATATGTCTATTTTTATGTAGACGCATATCTAGCTATTTAGATATTAGATTATGTAAAGACAATTTTATGAATACAGTCTTTCTTCTTCTTGTGTAAACTCGAGTACAAATACGAATACTAGTTTATATGAGTTACTGTAAACTATATTGCTATATTCAAAACCTACGTCAAAGCAAAAGCTATAATTGAAGTAAATTCTCGATCATTAACATAAACATCTGGATGTGCAAGCAATAACTGACAGAGAGACTCAGACAGTCGACTATAATCACAACTGTTCATTTTGATTTCATTTGATTTATTGAGAGTAGTTTCAATACGTTTTAAAATGTTAATGCAACTTTCATCACATATGGTCAGTTGAGGATGTTCGTGAGGTGGGACCGGTTCGCCAAATACTTTTAAATCCATAGCTGATGGTAAAAAGTTATGAATAAAGCGACGCACACCAGAAGAGGAAGAATTATTCGTAATTGAGATTTCGTTTTGGATAGGATGAGTTGAAGATTCAGTTTTGTTCGATTGATTTTGAGAAGAGGATTCAGCATTGAAGATTTCCGGACCACGTCGTTGGTAAACAGCTGAAATATGCATATAGGTTAAGATTATTATGAAACATAACGGTATTATCACAGAAAGATTATTTTTTCTGATATTACCGAAAGTTGATTACAGGGATGATTTGCACGCTCAGCTAAGTTAAATACAATATTATCAATTAAAAGAAGAGTGTACTGATGGCAAACATTTAATAATGTGTACAGAATTATTTGCATTAAAGGTCATGGGACTTTGTTTTCAGTCAAGCGAACTATTAAGCATAAAAAAATTCGTATGATTAAGCTTCAATTTGACGACAGTAGACAAAAGAATACCTTATAAGCAAAATAATTCTCATCCAAGAGTATGTTAAAAGTATGTACGTTACATGGCAATGAGAATACGACTAAAAATCGTACGGAAAAACACATAATAATTATTTATCCAGTAAATATTACTGTCCAATAATATAATTTTAACAACAGTTTCTCATCATCTATCTACAGATGAATAGCTTGTTATATTGTATTTATAAGTCAACGCTGAATTATACAGTATATAAGACAAAAACAATGGTCACAGTATATCATACGGACAAACCAATCACATTTAAAATAGTAGCTCTTTGGCCTTTGTCCAAGATTCAAAATGGGATGCCAGATAGCTTGTAAATCATTCATATCCAAGTAAACTTACTAGTTTTTATCTATCAAAAGGTTTAAATAGCATAAACACGGCAAGAATAAACAATACGAACAAACTTGAATAACTATTAAAATAATATTTACAAAGTGCACAGCTTTTTACGGAAAAACTAAAAGAAGGTAAACAGAGTTGAGAAGTGTGTAATGTTGCAAGATTTCTGAATTTCCTACGATAACCCTAACACTAAAACCTAACCCTTTTTGGTTTTCTGCAATGACTTATTCATCAGTATCACGTGCATTCTGATTGGCCCATAAATAGACACGAACCCTGAAATCTGTCTCAAAACTGTTTAAGGTCGTCAATATGATGTATTTTCACCAGATCAAGAATTAAACACGAAACAGAGAAATACCTTTTAAATTTAAAGGATCCAAGATAGGTAAATTCTTAGACAAATCAGAAACATAATTATCTTCTGTATGTTGGCTTGAATCATGGTTAATGCTATCATGAAATGAATTGAAACCAGACTTAAAAGAATCAAGTCTTGAGGTGTTTTCAATAGACTTGTACATTTCACTGTCTTTTTTTATGGAGTGAACTAGAAGTTCTGGTTGACTGACTGTTAACACATTATTTAATGGTGTTTTTGAATTAACTGAAATGTTATTACTTAAATCAATTCCAGTTAAAAATTTGTCCGTATTTTGATCTATAGAATTAAAGTAAACAGTTTGAGATGTTGATACTTCGATGGGTGGATTGGAAGAAGACAGATTTGTAATCATATCATTGTTGTGTTCAAATGATTTTGTAGAATCTAGCAGATTGTTTGCACTCTTTGAACTAGTTATGATACTACTAACGGGTAATGGTGTTGTTATTGGTGGTGGTAGTGATACGGAAGTTGTAACCGTTACTTGAGAAGGAACTGAAGGAGAAAGAAGATTCGGTGATGGGTGAAGAGACGAATTAGCAACTGTTGTAGAAATATACGACAATGTCGGCTTTTTCCGTTTGTCGCGTATATTTTTTTCAATTCGTTTCATTAATAATTCATATTCATTAAATCTAAACACTCCATAACAGAAAATAAGTAAAAAAAATATATTTGAGATAACATACCACTACGGTTATTATTGTTGGTGAAGAGTTGCAATTATTATAATAAATCATCTCTAATCTATTGGAAAATTTGAAGATAATTACAGTAACTATATAAAGGTTCTTGAAGTAATCTTTGAATAACATGTTATTCGAAAGCTGTATATGGTAGCCAGTAGACTAAACGGATGTGAGGAGAAAATTCGGACCCGGAAACTTATTTTTTTTATTTGTTTTATTTGAACACATAAATACTGGTAAAAGAGGGCGCCGGATACATGTGTGCCACATAAATCTCATTCGATTTGTGTGAGGGCTGTGATACTGCCCGGATGCCAAAACCGAAGCAGGTGGTTTTCTTAGGGGAGCACACCTGGAGCCTTCAACCTAAAGGTCTGATCCACAAGGCAGTGGAGCAACGTCAGGAGATGCAGTCCCATGGTAGCCGGTGACTAACAATTGGTTCATACGCCATTTGTTCCTTCAGGAAACTGGAGCCCATGTGCACCATTGGTTTGGAATCAGGGTTTTCCAACTCCTCTAGGTGCATTCTCCGTGTCCACCAACCCGTTTAAAGCGCCAGACATCCGCTTTTCGTCCTCTCAATTTCGTAAACAACACCCTCGCCACGAGAAGGCAGTGAGTAGGACTTCCCTGGAAGAGGCTATATACGCGTGACCGTGTGAGAGCATTTTGAGAGGGAGAGCTGACTCTCCCCACTCTCGGCCATGCCAGGGCATTCGGAGGCCTTAAATGAGTAGGAAATTCACAGACCTAGAGTGCTGGGTTTCAATTCAATGGATAAATAATAGCTTATTATTCAGGAGCCTAGATAACTTTCTGTGGTGTGATAGCCATATATTAGTGAGGAGCCTCTAAACTAGGATGAAAAAAATGTGTTGATGGTCCGGCCTGATAAATATTGGTTACCCGACTGATGTTGGTTTGTGATGGGAATAATTCCTAAAATCATAATCACTTTTTTAGAAAAAAGCATATGATCGGGACTGTAAAAAATTTACTACGATAGCACTATACGATAGTTCGGAAATAGAGTAAAAATTATTTACGTATTCCATGTAAAGAACAAACCTGAAATTCCAATCCGAAATAAATCGATACATCCAACGTTTCAATTCATTAATTAATCTTTGTACAATTAAGGCCTGTTCAACTGAAAATGAGAACATAAATTAAAAAGCGAAAATCAACCTCTGTAGTTATGAACTGAGTGAGTAACATTTTAATTGTATGAAATTTTGCGTAAACATGAACCTATTAATTCCAGCTGTCACATAAGTGAAATAGAAGGTAAGATCAAATAAACGATTTTACGAATTGATACTGCTTCTTCATTTGGACACAATTAATTGTAGGTCAGGAAGACTCAAGCATTCCAAAGGTTGTTGACTTGTCGTATATTTTAAGTCACCAGAGCACCTCAGATAGTGCACCAATAACATTTAAACAACTGTTCATGAACAGAGGATATTTGTTCAACCGGTAATCACATGCTTCACTGAAGTAAGAGGTAGGAACTATTAAATAAACAAAACTCAAGTGTATAAATGACTAATTTGATAAAAATAAAAACCATCAGTAATTAAGTATTCGAAACAATTGCACATTCACTAAAATGAAGAAGCAAAGTATTTAAACTGTTTACACAATAATCAGCTTTATTATGTCAAATATACTTAACCACTGTTTAAACTAGAGATTAGTTTGAACCAATTATGACATTTGGTTTCATTTTGTGAAATATCACATCTTTGTTCAGCAGTTTCACTGGAGCCATAATGAACACTTGAAATGCTATTTGAATGAGTTCGAACACGTGACTGGATTGTAGTCGTACAAAAGATTTTTTCACCCGTAGTTATTGTTTGCTTATCAGGTGTGGATATTTTTTCATTTTCTACAGTATTTGATTCAGAATCATCTTCTACAGGCTTTGCAAGACGGCCTAGACTATGTGATATACCCGCTGGTATGTCTTCAACATACTGTTTAGTAGAAAACCTTTCCTTTTGACTGCTGTCACTCGGATGTAGAATGAAATCCAAAATTTCTGATCTTTCATCCATTAGTATACGAGTGGAATCACACTATGAGGGACAAAAGCATAATGAAAACAAAATTAACACAAACTACAATACGTAGAGTGGATAGTTCAGTAAATATTACAGAAAAATAATCGATCAACCAATCGAAAAAGTGCCATAGCTAAGCCGACTCAACGAATTTGACTACAAACTAAAAAATGTTAATTACTACTACAAAAAAAGTCAGTTGATTGCCGACTGTCGCCCCCGTAACATTAAACCACTTAAAGTAAAGACATCCCATACTTCCTCAATAATAATATTTCTTTTATCAATTTAAAGAACAAGTATTTATATATGAAGAAGATTTTCATATGTAAGGTGGTTGGATGCATTTAACAGGAAATTCTGGACCTAGACTGCGGGATGGTTGGCACTCGTCAGCAAAGTATATATACAATCATGAGAAGATATTCCTATGGGACTCGGATCCCGCTACTGACCAATTGTGAAAATAAGATATTTATCAGTGGTGCGCAAAGCTCAGTGGTAGGTAACGTCTCAGAATATGAAGCTAGGTGACGCAAATTTGAACCCCATAAGCAGCATTGGTTCCTTCAAGATTGCAGGTGCGTTTTGCTGAGGAGTGCATATCACGAAACCCAGATCTCGAGGTTTACCATCAACTATCTCCAAACACCCAGCATCTCAACACAGTCCACACGATGGGCATATTGTAACTTGATCAAGCAAATATGACACTGACTACCACTACACAGTGATCAATTAATTCTAAAATGTCACAAGAACTTTACCATTAGATTTGTTATTCAGCGTAGAATTTTGTTTTGAAAGAGAAAAACAAGTACATTCATATTTAACTTGAGTTTGAAAAGGTATTTCAGCATGTTCAGCCCGGTACATAAAATTGTGCCTGAATGAATGATACTTACTCTTCCTTACTTAATGAAAGGGGTTCAGTTCACGTTTTATCCAATACATGAAAATGCATATAAATACAAAAGCTCATGATGCCATAATTATAACACAAAAAGGAATTAAAAAATGGACTAGAAAATAATCAAGATTCTTACTTCAAGAACTTTTAGATAGGCCTCGAGCATAGCGGACAGTTCGCAAGATATTTTCTCATTTTGTTGATTGGCAATATGACATTTAATTACAGTATTTATAGTGTAATACCTAAGAAGGAAAGGGAAACAGTGCAATGCAATATATGGATTTATTTTACAAATAATAATATGCGGATAGGATAACAACTTGAGGACAGAACGAATTTCCAGAGACTTAAAATTAGCAGTAATTACATGAATCTCAAACCACACTTGATGCCGAACACTTCGGCAGACGAAGTAAATGCCGAAAATACATTTTCATCATTCGTCCAAATGCAACCAGGGTACTGGAATTCGATAATTTATTACGTGAAGAATGCATGTCAGTACAATAAAAAACCCGACTATTTTCAGCGAATACCAACACAAATTTAACAAATGAACTAGGAGGATGTTCACAGAACGAATCTCTTGAAATTTTTTTATATATCTTGCAGATACGTTGGAGTCAGTAATTATTGATATAGAGTGTTGAACAAGAAGTTTTACTCATCTTTATAGGAATGTAGTGCTCATTTACATGAAGTTTGCAATTACTATTGTTTTGCAATTATTCAACCCACATACAAGTGAATATTCTAAGGTGTGACACTGATTTTAGTGGAGGCTGAAAATAATACTAAACTGACCATGTGACCATGTATAAAAACTCAAGTCTGGAATCAAAGGATTAGAAATTGAATTTCTTAATCATTAAACCATCTCAGCTTAGAGTAAACATTTATTAGTATACCTTTAAACAGTTTTAAAAAAATACCGGTAGTTGGTCGACTTGACACAAAATGACTATCACATTTCAGCAGTCTACTCTTATTTCATTATTCTTATAAGATTGTTTCACCGTTGTAACAAACGCTAATAAAATAATGAGCACCTACTTTGTTAAAACGTCGGAAGCTTCAGCGTACAGATAACTTGGTAAGTGAGATGTTTTCTGCAGGTTAGTAACTTTGTGATGATTTGACTGACTATGAGATTTAGTAGCAGTAGCGGTAGTATGGTCTGTACTGTCCGTGCAGTAACCATCTTCCAAATCATTTGTGTTCATGTGACTTGCAGCAGTTGGTTTTTTCATAGTTAACATGCGGGTACTTTCCGACTTCGAATTATTGACTTTCACCGGGAAAACACGAATCTCATTTGGAGGCATAACAATCTCATAAACATTAACCGGTTGATATCTGTAGTAGGAAGCAAAATAACTTATGAGAGGATCAATATCATATATCAAGGTAAGGTGGATAGTTGAGGGTAAAATATACATTATTATGAGGCTAAAAACTAAACTATATAGCAGAAATTTCAATATATTAATTGATTGTCGGTTATTATCACTGACTTTGCTTTCTATGTCCATCTTGCAGCCCTTCGTTGACGTCGCGAACTTGGCAAACATCACAACAAATTCGGTAATTTCGGTTTCTGGCAAAACAACAGTCATCATCAGGGGACGACCGATTTATCATTTGTATTAACATCACAGGCGACGTCTACGAGTTTACTGACAAATCGGCTGATTCCGAAGGCAGCATCATTATTAGTTTCGGTTCGAAAATCATGTGCTTCTTTAGTATTATTTTGATTTCATACAATCCAGACTGATATTTATTCAACCCTCGAAAGGTTACGCAACTGACGTCCTGTCTATTCTACATCTAACTTCGCAAGTATTTTGACATACACTTCGCGTTCTTCAAAATTTTAATCTTCTGAATTCCTGTCCCTTTTGTTTTTCTCTTTCCACATTTATTTCACTGGATTATACTGCTTGAATAACATCTTCAAACCCTAATCTTTCCTATTACTGTTTATACTTTTACTATCTCAACCATTATGGGATTTGAATCTACAATTGTATCTCTGTGCTAATGTGGTATGGCAACTTGAACTGATGTACGCACGTACAAAGTTGTACGGTGTTGCTGGCTGACTGACTGAGGCAAGTACTAATGTGGCAACCGTCGTTGGAATTAGGGTTAAAACTTTCATAAACATGGTCTATAGAGAATCACAATCGCCCTTAACTAGAACCATACGAATTTGTTGTCTGTGCATGAAGTGATTTTCGAAGCACAGCTTCTTCAGTATTTTCTGACAGCAGTTTTTCCATTAAAATCCAAGTATCGGAGAGTATGAGAGTTTGGGAAGAAGCTAAGTTGTCAGTATTTAAAGGATTCACAATGCTATACGTATCGTAAAGAGAGTTCGATCTAGATATCCGGCCATCACTATTTGATGGTTACTAACGTTTGTTGATTGCTTAGGTACTTGAAGATGACCTAAATTTATAATACAATACTTCGAATCTTCCGATTGATGACTAGGACTGCAATTGATTAGTCTGTTATTGGCATCCTGTGCAGATAGTCTCGATACCGCCTAGAGTCAAAAGCATTATAAACAGAGATGAATAGTAGTTAGAAGTGTAATCCAGGACGTGCGTTTCGTCCTGCTTAGAACTCATCAGCTGAATATACCCGCATCCATCTCTCCTTATAATGCTTGTGACTTAAGGCAATTACGAGACTGTCCGCACAGGATGTCAATAACAGAATAATCAATTGCAGTCTTATACATCAGTAGTAAGATGCAAACGAAAAATGCAAAAATGAATTAAATTTCATCTCATTGCACAAGCTAATGACTATCAGGAGTCAGCACCTAAGTGGATAACGTGGTGACGTTTGAAGCGAACGGTATTGAGTTCGAGTCTCAGAGTGAACAACTCTGGAACGCGGGTACATCCAGCTGACCAGTCTCAAGACGGACAAAACGAGAGTCTTGAATCCCACTGTTAGCCACCATCCGTTTCTGCTTATAATTAAATCTGAGACTTTATAGTGCTGACGACCCCATAAAAGTATGAAAATGCAAAAGAATATAACCGTAACTAACACAATCATATTTGCGGCAGAAGAAACAAATCTTCATAATCAAATGAGCAAAATAATGACTAAATTAAAATAACCTTCAATTTTTAACATTAATTGACTAAATATTCGTACAAACATTTAACCAGTTACTTACTTAAAAATAGCTAATTTCCGATCAAAAGCAAAGCAATGTTCTAAAGATTTATAAACAGAATGTGGGCACTGGAATTGTAATATTGGACTCATAGTTTGACTGTCGATTCCATGTCTTACTGAATTAAGTGATGGTTCATTAGACGCATCAGTTGTGTTCACCTCATTGACTGTATCATCCGAGTTTTTATTGAATAGACCACAATAAGCCCAATTATCAGAACTATTTATTATTAAATCAAGAAATTTTACAAAAGACAAATGCCAAGTATCAGCAGACATATGTTTAATAGGTGAATTAATACGACATATTGGACAGAATAACCACATTTGTATACGACAATGACGACGATATTTTGCATCATTACTACCTAGATTTGGTATATCTGAAAAGACTTCTGATCGAGGTGGATCTTGAATCAATTTACGAATCATAAGTTGTACTGATCCTGAAGTTTGAATAAATCTTTGAATATGATCAGCCATTACTACATTACAAAGCGGATTACGGCAATGTTGTTGCCTAAAAAATATCAAAAAGAACATAATAATTATGCTTTATCGAAAAAACCCAAACGAAAAGCACTTGATATCAATTACAACAGACATATTGTAGCCAGCCGTCGGAAACAATGTGTGTTTTTGTTAAATTCTGGGCTCGCTCAAATTAGATATGAATACACGAGTTTTCTTTATGCTGACCCAACCTGATATGTGACTGAGAGTATTGGGAAATCGCTAAGAAGCTGTATTCTGCAAACTGAATGACGTGTACACGAGTCGAAGTTATATATACATCCGTCCTTTTGAGTTGAACAAAAAAATAGACTATGACCTGGACTAAGCACATAATCGGGATCAGTTTGAAAGCGTTATTTTAAAAAATAGATCTTATTCAGTTTAGTGGGAATAAAATTTAATCTTAATGTAGAAAAAGTTTTAAAAAGTTACCTTCTGCAAAATATAATAACTCTAATCTAGTTATACTGTAATAATACCAACACTACTTAAAGATAAAGCTTACATGAAACAAAATTTCTCCAAAAATAATCCTAACGGCAAATCATTTGAACCGTAAAATTCCACTGTAGCTATCAAAGGTGGAACACATGGTTCTGGTCGCATAATACATTTTGTTGTAAATAATATTGCAAGAAAACTCAAAGATTGATATGAACGTGGATCTAGAATGCTTCTTCTTAGACGCTATTCATTAATGATACAAAATAAATAAACAAAATATTATTTTCAAATTATGTTTTTTCTAATGAAAGTAATCCTGATAAGTATCCTGTGTATCTTTTCATATATATGATTCTTATTAAATAGTTATAAAATGTGTGTAAAACCAGCACATAAATGAGTTTATTTGGTTTAATGACGTTGAGTTTTTGAAAAGTCAATAAATCTTCATTATTACCAGTCTTGGTGTTTCCACTTCACATCATGGGAATTGCAAGGATTCTTGTTTCCAAGTATAAAAAGTAGGACTTCTGGTAAATTATATACCTTACAATAATTTGTAATAAAACTAATGTATGCAACCAGTTGTTTTCTTTCAAATCTTACACCTTATTATTTTATACATTAGACACTTTTTTCTGTATAACAATTTGCCCTTACATTTCCGTTTTTACTTATCTTTCAGTTTTGGCATCAAACAATGCAACTTGGAACATGATCAGATCTTGTAAGTCGATGTACGAGGAATAATAGGAGCTGAAGAGGGAGGCTGATTATGAATACAGTGGTCTTGAGTGCTGTTAGAGGTATGAGGGCAGTTATCACTTCCCCGTTGCCCACACCATGGAAGGGTTCTTCTGAAGTTACCTAAAAAGAAAATTGGATTAGAAGTGGTCTTACTGACCTGAGAAAGTGACCACAGAGCCCAAGGGACAACTGCTTGGGGTCAGTCACACACGACCTTTCTGTGGGTAATTTTCGTGTTAGCTCCGTACTTGTTGAGACTTTACCACCGGAGACGGATATCCGTGGGCGAGGTGTGCATTTTTCGGGTCAACCTTCTCTAACCCTATTCCTCCTTGTGGGAAGGCAGCATCGCTGTTATGCTAGTTCTCTGAGAGAAAAACATTACTGCTGTCACACCTCTGTACAGTCAACAGTACGACTTCGCCTTCGGACCTTAGGTTTGTTGCTTTTAGTCTTACCGCTCTTCAACCGACCTGTCTGACATGGTAGGACCTTGCGGAACGGTTATTCCAGTCAGTGTGGCCCGATTGATTCATCCGATAGGCAAGCCCTACTACCACGTCAAAGTAGCAACAATAATCAGGATCAGATCCTCTACATGATTTCTGTTTATTATTGAAAGAACGATTAATATAAGACTTTATAATCCCGCCCATATGCTTTTATAATGATTTAGAATAGTTCCTAACTGTTTACAGCAAATAAGCATCAATGGATTAGGTGATATTCTTTAGTCGAAGTTATTGTTGTTGTTTTAACTTTACGTGTATAAGATTTGCGAAAATAAAATGAACAGTAAAATCTTGACTAAGAATAAACTTTCATTCTCGGAGCTATAGACATTCAACCATTAAAATTGTTTTTCAGGCTAACACAACTGAAACCTTAAGATAAGACACTTCATTGTAGCATCCTAAGAAAAAATAAAAAGAAAATCCTAATTTGCTTGAAAACAAACAAAGTTAATAAGCTTACTTTTACACTTTCAGATTCCGAGATAAGCTGCACATTAGAAGTGGGTGTAAAACCAGTAGTTGTAGTTGATGTTTTTGTATGACCTGATTTAAATGATTTCAAATGTCTTGTATTAAATAAAGAATTCCAATGACCAGATAAAATACTGTTCATACCAGCCCAAAGACGTGGAAATGAACGAGAACTTTCAACGTTCTGTTTATTATTATTGTTCATAAAACCCCTAGCTTTATAATCAGTATACAAGGCTTCATCAGATGATGTTAGTGTCTCAGAGATAATTAATCCATCCATTGTAAAATTATTTTTTCTAAAACTATCATTATTGTCACTGTTATCACTAAGAAAATATGGTAAAAGACGATTTAATTTTGAATTATGTAAAGTAGGCGATGAAAAAGTTTCCAAATTACACTTTGTGAAAGGATGAGATGATTCGTTACTTGAAATATGTTTTGATGGATGATTATATAATTTAGCACTCATCATGTAATATTTTAATGCTGTCAATTCACTATTTAAAATCTGTGGTAAAATCAACAAAATATTGGAAATACTAATTGTTATGTAAATAATAAAAAATGATATTAAATTTACACTGAATACTCATAACATATATCAATGTGATTAAAAAGAGGAAATTATGTTCGCAAAAATCTTTGAGCATAACATTAAGATAAACCCCAAGTTTTGAGTTTCTTTAGAGAAATAATAAGAAACTCAATGAAGAAGCTCGAATCAGACTGCCAACTGAAACACTGAAGTTATTTTAATTCTAGTCGCTGAGATCTCTATAAATATGACATCCTTTTTTAAAGTCCTTCATTAACTTAAAGAACGACTGTTGTGAAAATATTAGTTCGAGAGTTTCTATAAAATGTTGTGCGTTCATAAAAAGAATATAGAACTGTAAAATCTTCTTTAAAATTTAAATTAGAGTCAATTAAAATGAATAATTACCTCTTTTTCTCACAAAATAAAAACTTGTGAATGCATCTTTATAATTGTTGTGAATCTATAAGCATCTTAAAAGATATAATAATGACCAAAGAAGAATGTGTAACAAATAAGAAGGATATTATTTGATGTACAGCCTCAATATGTACAGCAAAGAGAATTTTCAAGACACTTTAGATCTTAACATTTAGGAAAGTATACTCTACCATGGTTGTATAAAGCTTTAGTTTAGAGATGTAAAGTTATTATCACTGTGTTATGTCGGTTGTGAATAAATTTTGAAGGGGACAGCATAATATACGAAAACTAACTTATAATAGCTGAATGGTTTTCCTAGCCCTTCAGTGTTAGTGGAATTTGACTAGACAAAAGACGCTATATAGGACATTACCGATAAACATCACAACACATCAAATAAACATATGCCTAGTAATTAGCATTAACCAATCCAAAAAGAATGGTGTTAAAAATTTATCGAAAAAAAATCATTTAACAAATAAGGCTTACTTTTTCTCTCCGTTTCATCAAATCATTCAGTCTACGTCCTAACGGCCAGTCAATTACATAAGTATAATATGGGTATAAATAAGATAACTGGCCTTCTCTAGATGCTAAATAGGGTAAGCGAAATTCAACACTTGGTGAGACAGATAATAGACGTCCTTGAAGATATATCGCTAAATCAGAGCAGAGATTTTTGTCATCTTCATCGTTTGATATAGATGTTTGTTCGGTCGTCTATAGAGAAAAAAATGAATAAATGAAAAAAGTACAATGAACAGTATATAACTGAATATATAGTTCGGGGAAAACTACAGGCGACATATGAGTACGTACAAATTACCTGACTAAAAGTACGGGTAATAGCAGTAATTACTAGTTGGAGAAATTAGATGACATGATTTAAAAGTGGTTCCGATGGTATGAGTTTGCTATTTGTTTTTCATCAGATCTTGACTTTTAAATCTATTCCGAAATTTTTATTTATCGAATTCTTCCTCTGTGTTTAACTGATTCTACTAACACTGATATTCCCATGATTTGAACTACTCCGATACTTATTTTCGTAATTTTATCTCATTGTGCTGGTGAGTTCTGAGAATTTTGACCGATGCACATCCGTATCTGGTTTTTAAATTACTTATGAGTCAGATAATAATAGCAGGAGTCTTTTGAATGACTGATGATAATTTATTTATTTATTTAAACACATAAACATTGACACAAAGAGGCACCAAATACATGTGCACAGCACTTCATGATTCGATTTGCTGGAATACTGCAAGGACGCTCAAACTAAAGCAGGCGGTTTTCTCAGGAGGCCACACACCGAACCTTTAACATAGAAGTCTAATCCATAGGTAGTGGAGAAACGTTAGATGTAGTACCATGGTAGTCGGTGACCACCACCAACCCGGTTAAAGCGCCGGATATTCGCTTTCCGTCCTCTCGATTTCGCAAACACCCCCCCCCACTGCGAGAAGGCAGTGGAGCAGTACTTCCCTGGCGGTGGCTATATACGTGTGGCCATGGTAGAGCATTTCGGGAGGGAGAGCTGACTCTCCCAATCCTTGGTCGTAGCAGAGCATTTGGGAGGAATGATAACACCGACGCCAAAATAATTACTCAGAAAAATTATTACTATAGCAAGTAACCATGCTTCTTTTAGCTAACCATTTTAAATATGAATTAACTAACTTTGTCTATCATAGTATTCAGCAGAACTTCAGGATACTTATGTGGTAGTAACTGATTATATTAGAATCATGCTCAATAAAAAGTAGTAAACTTACAGAGGAAATAGAAATAACTGAACCATTGGGGTCGGATAACGCTTTTTTTCTCGACACTGGAGAAGAAAGCGATGAATATTCGGCATCGTTTTGTAAACATATTTTATTTAGAGATTGTACACGTGGTCTTGAATACGTATCCGTATTCAGTAACAAATGAGGAAGATGAAAAATATGATCATTATTTGAATAAGCCAATTCTAACTGTGCATTATAGCACAAGCGTAATGTGAAAAGAAAACAACGTTTTGCACGGATAAGTGAAGCAAGATCATTATCTCGTAGAATAACAGTCGCTTCATGAGTAATATACCGGATAGGATTAGAATCAAGCGCCAAACCAGTTTCGGTAGAATTATTTTTGATGAAAGTAAGAAATTTCGTGGAGTCTGGCAAAACGAAGCAGTAAATGAAAGGAAAATACTATGAAAAGCATAAAATCCAGCGTGTGACATTTATCAGACTAGGAAGCCTGTTGAAATTTCAAAAAGTTTAACAGTGTTACAAAATAAAACCCGAACCAAACATTCAAATATTTCATCAGGTTGCAACAAAATACTAACCTTCCATTATCTACGCTTTGAAATGCTAATAAAATTGAATATATTTTGATTGCGATAAGCGAAAAGATTGCAAACATTGAAGTATATCTACGATAAATACTATTACATTATATTGTAATTTACAAATACAACCAGACGTAAAGCAGAAACTTTAAATTGTCATTTACGAAGTTCAAAAAATTGTATCTATCCAGACAACAAAATTGTTATGACTCTATATCCGGCTTTTTATCACGTGATTTTTACCCACCAATCAAAATACGACTTATACAATCTTCGGACTGTGCCAAACCAATGACATTCGACTGGTATGAGCAGCCTAGCTTCCTTACTGGTTTTATGTCCGCCTAGCCCGTCCACTTGAGTCCACAACACCGAATACCAGCTTCCAATATGCGAATCATATATTTCAAACATACTGTCAGTCAGCTACAACGTAGGACCAGGCACATATGTGCATCAGTCCAGGTTGCCATACCTCATTAGCACAGCAAGATGAACAGCGGATTCATAGGAGTGGTTAGGTCAAAGGTTGCAACAAGGATATAGTATAGGAAGAAAGAATTAGTTCGTAGACAGAAAGAATGAAGTGATTTTAGTCTCTTAGTTTAAGGGAAGACAGGAAGTGTATACACCGACGCCATTGTGATCGATTCTGAGCCATGTCACCAAGAGTCTCCAACCATTGGTTACGATAGTCACGCGGAACCCAACCAAGTAGTCTGCATCTACCAACATGGCTCAGACTAGAAGTTAGTGACTTCAAGCACTGATGCCACGTTTTGGTTTGGCCGCCCCTAACTTTCTTCCAACCATTTCCAATACCAGATAGCATTGCACGTCGTGGTAATCGGTGTTCAGGCATACGTAACACGTGGCCCAACCATCTCAGTCGATGAAGATTCATAACCTCATCAACTGATTTACCATCATTCCCTAATACCCTGCGTCTAACCTCACTATTACTTACCCGGTGATCCCAGCAGATGCCAGCAATATTTCTAAGGCATCTGTGGTCAAATACTAGTAGCTTACGGGTGTCTTCTACTCTTAATGGCCATGTTTCGCTGCCGTAAATTAAAACAGAACGAACTGCCGCGCAGTATACTCGTCCTTTTATTGATAGACGGATATCTCGCCTTCGCCAAAGGTGACGTAAATTGGCAAAAGCCAAACGAGCTTTTCGAATCCGTGCTGAGAGTTCGTCAGACACCAACCCATTAGGGCTGATCAGACTTCCAAGATAAGTGAAGTTGTCAACGCGTTCGACTACTTCACTCCCTATCCTTAGTTCAGGTGTTGACGGAGACCAGTCCTGAAGCAACAACTTGCATTTAGAGGGAGAGAAGCGCATCCCAAACATTCTGGTATTGTTGCTTAGTGCTACCAAAAGACTCTGCATTTTGTCAGCGTCTTCACCAAACAGGACTATGTCATCTGCGTATTCTAAGTCGATAAGTGGACCTCCTGGAAGGAGATCAATACCCGAGAACTCAGTCGACGAGAAAGTTATTTCCATCAATAGGTCTATGATGAAGTTAAACAAAAATGGGGAAAGTGGACAGCCTTGACGGACACCACTTGAGGTTGCAAAAGTAGATGACAGTTCGCCATAAGCCCTGACTCGACTAGTAGTGTTCGAGTAAAGAGCCTTTACAAGGTTTATGTACTTCTGAGGTACGCCTTTCAATGACAGACACTGCCACAAAATCTCGCGGTCTACCGAGTCAAATGCTGCTTTTAAGTCGAGAAAGACCACCATTGTCGGACGCCGATAAGTATGCCTGTGTTCTAGAATCTGACGAATGGTGAATATGTGGTCGCTGCAGCCACGACCAGGTCTAAAGCCAGCTTGGTTCTCTCGTGTTTGTAGTTCACGAGTCTTAGTTAGGCGTTTGATAATTATCGAGGCCAGTATTTTAGATACTATGTTTGTTAAACTAATCCCTCTGTGGTTGTCACAGGATGATTTTGACCCTTTCTTATATATTGGGACATACTGTATTTATATATCAAACAAACAGACCTCAACGCACCATAAAATAGGAAATAATATTTGTACACAAAAAGTGGCTGTGAACGTGGGAGGCAGTAGTTAACAAACTGAGCATAATTTAGGGACAGTAAGTCGTATAATAATAAATTATAGGTCAAAATGAAGCTTATAATAAGGGGAATATGAATACACATGATTTAATTATTGAATAATTATACAATAAGAATATTTATAGAATATTAGTCCATTAATAGTCCTCGGAAGTTACCTGTAATTTAATCTTCACTAGGATATAACAAAAATATCTTATTTCTAATGGTTTGTATTATCCCGTTACCGATAACTGGATTCAGTAACTAAACAGATAACACGTTGGCGTTTACAATCAACGATAATGAGTCCAAGTTTCGAAATGATCATCAAGTTTAGGACGCACATACATTCAGCCGAGCAGTCTCGAAGAGAACGAAAGGCGTGTACTGGATCCTACTGCTAGCCAAATAAAATCAATTTTATGTAACAAGAAATCTCTTTACATGGTGCTGTCACTTTCAGATTAGGAATATGATAAAGAATATAACACCGGAAATTCATTCCTTTTAGCTACCTAGTAGGTTCAGTAACGGAAAAATAACTAATCTACGACAGTAAAAATGTATTAGCTGAATAATCCATCTAAAGTTTACAAAAGAAGCATTATACTGCTCTGTATAGACATCAATGGTTAGCACAGAATTTCGTTCAGATAGATTGATCACTGAATTCGTAAACGGTAGTTGATAATATTTGGTCTATTTTGAGATATAACTAAAAACAATCCAGTAGTTTGTTTTGGTTCAACATAAATGAATTAAATCACAGTTGATGTTTATATGATATATTTGCCTGCGATTCTCTAGAGGAATTCGTCTTATATTGAGTTTATAAATACCAACACATTTCTTTAAAGGCTGATTTCAATGGGATTCCAAGGTCACTTTATAAGCTTAAGGAGTACAAAGAATTTAAAAAGTTATAAAACAAAGTATTTGATTAGGCAAAGAATACAGAAACTTACCATCTGGTAAATGTAATTGTCTAACTTCAAAATGATTACAAACACCAAGACGTGTTGTTGACTTTTGAGTATTATTATCTGATTTTCTTGAAGGATTGCTCATTAACCGATCAATCGAATCCAAGATATCAGCACCCGTCATTCGTGCAATACGGTACAACACCGACTATTAAAAAAAGGATTAGACGTGTAAACCCAACGAACTGATTTATTCCCATTTTAACTGTCCCGAGAAAAAATGAGTGAGTCAAAGTAAAAGAAACAATAATGGGGAGTTCCTTTAATAGAGATCAACAGTATAGAAAGCTATATTTATTTGTTGAATGAACCACTTAAATTACAACAAGTAAACCGTTTATATTGTAAGAATCTCATTTACTGTTCAATATTTCGGTACAGAATTATATACTTGGAAGGTATTCACTAAAGGGCGATGATATCAACATAACACCTGTACGGGAAGTTACTCAATAAAACTTTTTGAAACCTCGCCTGTAGCTCTTCTGAATCTACTGTCAGTCCCAAGCCCAGGTAAAAGAGGAGTGTTGGATGTGGGGTTGGTAACCCCATTCCGTAGAAAACTTTGCTAAAAACACTAACCAGAATAAACAGATTAAATCATTTAAACTCTGTCCTGGAAGTTGAAAGAAGAATCATGACGTCTCATGATGAAAGCCGAGATTCTTCGGAAATCACGAGGCCTATTCTTTTTTAACAACCAGAGCAACAACTATCATAGGTACACGGAACGTTCGGACAATGTGGGAGAGCGGAAAGACTAGTCAAATAGCAACGGAAATGAGGAGATACAACTTGGCAGTACTCAGAATCAGAGAAACCCATTTGATCCAAGCTGGAAAAAAATATTAGATTCGCAAGAGATGCTGGTCATGAAGAAGAAAACGCTTCACACACTTAGGAAATTGCTGTGATGGTGATTTCATGGATACACGATTATCAAAGCATCCTTCAAAATAAAGAAGAAGCAGATCACAATGAATGCTACCCAGTGTTACGCATCCACCAATGATGGCAATGGCAATGACCAGTTCTACGAGACGCTGCGATTGATCTTAGCGAAATGCACAGGTAAGGATCTGATAATCCCGCTGGGAGACCCAAACACCAACATCGGAATGGTCAACATCGAGTATGAAGATATCATGGGACGACATGGACTGAGTAGGAGAAAGGAACGAGAATGGTGACAGATTTGCATATATATGTGCATTCACTAAATTGCTTATAGGCAGGACAATATTCTCACACAAACGCATACACAAATCTACATGGATCTCACCGGACCACAACATAGAGAACTAGATAGATCATATTTGTATCAATAAAAAAATCAGGAGGACAATGGAAGGTGTGAGGACCAGAAGAGCAGCTGACATAGATTCAGATCACCACCTGGTTGTGGCCAAGATAAAATTGAAGCTAAAGAAATACTGGACAGCTGGGGAAACAGCAGTACGAGGGTTCAATACAGCCTTCCTACGAGATACTAACAAACTCAATTCAAGATAGCTCTCAACAACAGGTCCCAAACCTTAAAAGATCTACTCAAAGAACAGGAAACTACAATGGAGGGCAATTGAAAAGGGATCAACGTTTCAGGAAATTCTGCGCTATAAGAAGCATCATCATAAGGAATGTATTTCTGTCGAAACCCTAGACAAGATTCAAGAATAAGAAGACAACAATTAACGACAACCGTACAAGAACAGAGTCGAGACACAAGCTGAATACACAGAAGCAAACAAGCAAGTGAGAAGAAGCACAAGAGCCAATAAGCAGATACACGTGGAATATCTAGCAGGGACATTGGAGAACCTGAAAGAGAAAGAAATATCAAACAATTATATGACATAATGAAGAAACTGGCAGAGAAATACGGCAAACCAGAGAGACCGGTCAAGGATAAAAAAGGCAGGACAATCATTGAGATTCAAGGACAGGGGAGCAGATGTGTGAAGCACTTTGAAGCACTCTTGAATAGGCCAGTTCCATTGAATCCACCGGACATCGAAGCAGCACACACAGACCACACGCAATACAATGGACAGCTTGGATGCGTCTAGACGATTTAGACTTCACAGATGAAGTAGCCTTCTATCCCATATACATTAACAAATGCAAATCAAAACAACTAGTGTAGCAGCAGCTTCTGCGTCAGTAGGCTTCAACATACACAAGGGGAAAAGCAGGATCCTCAAATACAACACGGAGAACACCTTGATGGAGAAGCTCTGAAACAGGTGGAGGCTTTTAGATATCTGTGGAGCAACACTGATTAACAGGGAGGATCTGATGCAGGTGTGAAGGTAAGGATTGGCAAAGCAAGGACGGCATTCCTATAGTTGAAGAACATATGGAACTCAAGACAACTGTCAACCAATACCTAAGTCGCAATCTTCAATACGAACGTCAAGACAGTTCTACCTAACGGAGCTGGAACTTCGAGAACTACCACAAACATAATCAAAAAATACAAGTATTTATAGACAATTATCTACACAAGATGCCATCAGCAACAGCCTACTGTGAGAAAACAAAACAAGCCTCCAGTTGAGGAGGAAATAAGGAAAAGACGATGGGAGTGGATAGGACACATATTGAAGAAATAATCAAACTGCATCACAAGATAAGCTCCAACTTGGAATCCTGAAGGGAAACGGAAAAGAGGAAGGTCAAAGAACACTGCGCCGAGAATTGGAAGCAGACATCAAAAGAACGAACAGCAAATAGAAGGGATTTTCCAGGACAGAGTTGGATGGAGAATGCTGGTGAGCGGCATATGCACCTCCACGAGAGGTAACACGTGTAAGTAAGTAAAGATTTTTGAAGGCTGCAACAACGAAAGTTACATTAGGAAGCGGTTTGACATGAGTAAGAAAATTTAATAGTCCACATGTTTTGAAAGGGAATGTAATTATTAAACTATTTACACCTAAACTAATAACCATAATAATAATAATAATATTACCAAGCTTTTCTTTGTCATCAAGATTATATATTCTATTTACGTTCTACTGTATACAGACGTTGTGAGTAATGAATATATATCCTAGATTTAACTACACCTACGAAGACATTTACACAGGAAGATCAGGCAAGCCCATCGTGACTGTCTTAAACACTGCAGTATGGCTAAGTAAAAGGTATAATGAATCTATCAAACCTTAAATGTTGTTTTACCTAGTAGATAGAATACAATTTCAAAAGAGATTATCATTGAACATCATATACAGAGTGTAAGTAATAAAGCTTCAAAGGTTTGTGAGACAACACTTATAAAGTATACATAGCAGAAACAATATCCTGAAAAATTTTCCGTCCATATATATGAATACAAAAATTAGTTGTTCGTTTTCTTCTTTTTTCCATGAACTTCAGCATAAAGATCTATATATTTTAAATAAACATTTCTACCGTTAATTGTAAGACTGAGTGGGGGAAATTATCGAAAACAAGTAGTTGTTTAAATGATTATTAACAAATTATCATTTGTGAGAAATGTAGCCTTGGAAAACTTATTATCATAAGCACTCTTTTCTGACTGAGATTGCTAAAAAATTTAAAAATTGACGCTTACCTGTTTTACATTGGAAAATAAAACGATTCCTGCTTTGAAAATAAAATTCTGTGCTAAATAACAAACAGTCCCACTGACGAATATAATATTGGGATGTAGACAGAGAATTTTACAAACACAATTGGTTATGTATTCTTCTTCCTGCAACAACCAAAACGAAGAAAATATACGCCGTATACCGTTTTAGTGCAATAAAAACATAATTAACCATCCACAAATATCGGATGTCCAAAAGAGCGTGAGCACACCTAATTGCTACAATTAACCATTGCTCTGCAGACGAAATGTCCGTCTATCAATCAAAAGACAAGCTGAGCAGCAGTTCGTTTTAATCTATTTTATGACTGTGAAACGAGGAATTCAAAGATAGATAGTCGTAGATTACTAGTATTTGATAATAGTTTCAAACCATTGCTCGTGTATGTTAGAACCAGCGTGTGAGCAATCTTAAAGTTAGACGTAGGGTATTAGGTTTTACAATTCGTACACAACGATATGATGGACCTAAATACATTATGATTAATAGAGTAATATATACGATTTATATTGATGACATAAGTTTAATATTTTTCACTATCAAATAAAGTAAAAACTACGAGTACAATGTAAATAATATTGATGCCTAAATGTGATATGGAAGAGGTTACATTGAATTTATTCTACATGATCAGAATAACACAAAATGCTAAGAGGAAAAATTTGTTGAATTTTCTAAATTAAGAAGTACTATTGAGTAAAGAATACCATAAAAAATCATTTTACCAGCAAACAAATATGATTTATCAAGTCAACATCAACATCAGATGTGATTTAAAAATGAAAACTATTATAAGACGAAATAATATAAAATATATCCTTATACATATATGTTTTCATACTTGCATAATCTGAGATTCTAACCACGTCATTTTAGAAGTAGTACGTTGATAATTTATGGATGAATCCAATAGAAGTATGCGTGGATTATTTAAAACAGTTGGCATTAATTTGTGGGTTGGACGTTTAGAGATAATAAGACCAGGGAACAAGTCTGAATTTTTGTTATCTTCATCCAATAGCTATTTTAATCAACAAACACAAATAATGATAGTGTTAAAATAAATAAACACTTATTAATTAAATAATATGTAAAATAACCAACTGTTTATGAATGAAATAAGATCTAATGATGCTACTGGTAATATATATATATTAATTTACAAAATCTTTTATCATTATATGGATAATAATTAATTACGCATTAGGTCAAATTATCTATGCTAACCATCAGATATACTAAGTAATATGAAAAATCGTAGCAAAAGACCAGTGACGAACAGGCTTTTTCCCAATAAAATGTCACACACATGTATAAAATATTAGTTGTCTGAGAAAAAAATGTTTGTTTAGATCACTAGCCTATCAATAAGGGTAAAATCTGACAATTAGGATTGATTCTTACCTATCAATATCATATTCTTCATCAATGATCTAATCAATGAAATCCTTAAAGCAAATATGAAAAAACGTAGTGAAATTCTTATTTTTACAAAAATTATGGAAACGTTATCAAGCATGTAAGCTAAAAACTGAATAATTTGTCTATTTAAACTGTTTTGAAATCTGTAATATTCATGACTATTGTAACTTTTTCATCCCGGTAATCAACCGTGAAAATTCAAAATACTGAATAAGACAAGATAAATCAAATCATTGACATATGGTTTAAAAATGTAAAATTATTAGTTAATAACATAAATACAATCATTTATAAGGCTAAATATGACCATATCATTGTCAGTTAAACTGTAAATAAAATTATCAAAACACTACTTGAAATATATAGTCAGTAGGTTAGGACGTACTTTTTTAATATGTACATAATATCGAATATCCATTGGTGAGTAAACTTGTTGTTTATGGACAGTATTAGAATTCATAACAGATTTCTGTACGTCATTACTCTTAACAGTTTCATTATTTGACTGAGATTGTTGCTTCTGTTGTCGATTAAATTGAAAATAACGTAAACCAGTTGATCGTAAATCAAAGTGCACCGTTTGACAAACATTCCATGCCAAACGAATTAGAATTGATGCCCAGCTAGAATCTAAGACATTATCTCGTACATCTTGTAAAACCAACTGATATATATGTTTATCAAAGATATTCCTAATAGTTTTTTTAATAAACATAGGAACAGAAAGAGGTAATTGAAGAAGATTAATTCAAACAAATTTTATACACTTCAAAATTCTAGCTGATATAATTAAACATATTTAGAGCACATCTATAGATAACAATTTTGTTGAAACAAGCTTGAAAGCATATATTGAGATTTCTTAAAACTGTCACTAAAAAAATATATTAGAAAATGTGATGATTGAGAAATGAAGAGACATGTTTAGTTAGTTACCCACGAATCCCACATTATGATGGGACGAAGGAGCACTAATGAGGTACTCGGAATAAAAAGAGTGAAACGAAAATATAACTTAACATATTTTATATTTTAAAGCTCTTGTCAGTGATAGAATCTAAATTACGACGTTCACGAACAAGAGATTCTTGAGCAACTAATTATTTCCCGTCACCTTGTCATCAGGCCCTGCCATTATAAATACATAATTCTTGTCTTAAAATGGCCAGAGGAAGGCACATGTGAATGAATAAGATTAACTATGTTACCTGTTCAAAATAATGAATTTTTTATAAGTAAAGGTCTAGATATCTAGAATATGTCATTTTTCGAATCCAGGTCATCTATTAAAAACGGTGGGAAATTTCAACGTAAGGTATCAAGTTGCAAACAATTAGCTTAGATAAATCATGTGAACAGAATACAAAATAAGAGAAATGTCTGATCAATTGAGATAATAATAATAATAATAATAATAATAATAATAATAATAATAATAATAATAATATTATTATTATTATTATTATTATTTGTTATGGCTTTAAGGTTGCCAATTGTTGTAACGGGTAAGACTGCAGGTTTTGATACGCAGCGTTTATATCGATCGATTCGGTGACACGGTTACACGTAGTGGACGACCTAGTGCCCTGATTGCCCCTGCTTCGCTGTCTGTCCTAGCCAGTTGAGTCAAGAACACAAGCCACAGCCTCGGAGATATGAATCATTATATTTCAAACATACTTTGTTTATATACCAATCAAGCATACCACACCGTACCATAAAATAGAAAACAACATTTTGTACAATATTCAACAAGTGAACAGATATCGACCAATAGAAAATGTCCATTTAAAGTCCAAGGACACCATTGGACTTAACATGATAATTATTGGTCTGTTCCTCCGAATCCACAACATTATTATTATAGCATTAATAGTGATATATTTCAACCATGTAAATAAAATATGTAGTCAGAAGAACATGACTGAGATAAGAAATTCAAGTGAATTGAGCAAGGACAATGTGCAAATTAGGAATGATACGGGACAGATAAACGTAAAATGTATATTGGCAGCAAGAGTCCATTATATAGTTTATTGTATGGGATGACCCTATGATGGATCATAATAGGTGGAGAAATAGAATATACCGCTTTTGGACGCATAAGTTCCGCTTTCTGGAGTTAATTCCGCTTCCGCTACATATATGAGCCCTAGTTTTGCTTCTTCAGGTAGATTGTTCGGGAATTAATACAGAAACGGGAGGGCTTCACTTATTTTGGGATGATATTCGCTACATACATTCTCAGTTAGTCAGTCAGTCAGTAACAACGTAGAACTTCGTACGTTCGTACATCAGTTCAAGATGCCATACCATATTAGTACAGAGATGCAGTTATCGATTCAAATCCCGTAGTGATAGAGGCGGTAAGAGTATAAGCTGTAATCGGGAAGATTAGTATTTGGAGATGTTATTTAAAGAGTATAATCCAGTGAAATAAATTTGGAAAGAGAAAAAAGAAAGGGACATGAAGAATTCAGAAGATTAGAATGTGGGAGTACACAAAGAGTGGATGCACTTGCGCCATTGCAAACGATTTTGAGCCATGTCATTCAAGGTCTCTAACCATCAGTTGCTATCATCTCGCAGTCCCCAACCAGGTAGTCTACACCTACCAACATGACTCAGTCCACTTGTCAGTGACTTCATGGATCTGTGCCATGTTTCGGTCTGGCCGCTCCTAGCTTTCTTCCAACCTACTTCTATACCACTGAACATAGCACGTCGAGGTAGTCGGTGGCTGGGCAGACGTAACCCGTGTTCCAGCTATCTCAACTGATGAAGTTTCACTACTTCATCAATTGATTTGCCATCCTTACCTAGTACCCGTTTCTTAACAACTGTGTTACTTACTTGATGGTCCCAGGATATACGAGCAATGTTTCGAAGACACCTATGATCGGATACTAGTAGCCTATGAATATCCTCTACTCTTACCGGCCATGTTTCACTGATATAGAGTAGGACGGAACGAACTGCTGCGCAGAAAACGCGTCCTTTGGTTGATAGACGGATATCTCGCCTACACCATAAATGACGCAAGTTGGCAAAAGCTAGTCGAGCCTTTTGTATCCGTGCTGAGATTTCGTCACACACCAGACCACAAGGGCTGATGAGACTTTCAAGATAAGTGAAGCGGTCGACACACTCAACTACTTTACTCCCTATCACTAGTTCGGGTGTCGATGTAACCCAATCCTGAAGCAACATTTTGCATTTCGAGGGAGAGAATCGCATCCCGAACATGCTTGCATTGTTGCTTAGAGTGGTCAGAAGACTGCATTTTGTCAACGTCTTCACCAAATAAAACTATGTCATCTGCATATTATAAGTCAACAAGTGAACCTCCCGGTACAAGTTCAACCCCTGGAAATTTAGATGAGGAGAGTGTTATCTCTAAAAGTACGTCGACCACAAAGTTGAACAAGAATGGGGAGAGTGGACAGCCCTGACGAACACCACTTGATGTAATCAATTCTGATGACAGTTCGCCATAAGCTCTCACTCTACCAGTTGTGTTCGAGTAGAGAGCCTTTATAAGGTTAATGTACTTCTTTGGTACTCCTTTCAGTGACAAACACTGCTATAGAACCTTACGATCAACAGAGTCAAATGGCGCCTTAAGGTCGAGAAATACTACTATTGTGGGGCGTCTGAATGTGTGTCTGTGTTCTAGAACCTGACGTTGTGTGAATATCTGATCTATACAACCACGTCCAGGTCGAAAACCAGCCTGGTTTTCTCTAATCTGCTCTTCACGAGCTTTGATTAGGCGTCGAAGTATTATTGATGCTAATATTTTAGACACTATATTAGTCAAACTGATTCCTCTGTGATTGTCACAAGAGGACTTTTGTCCTTTCTTATAGACTGGCACAAACAGTGATTGAGACCAGTCAGATGGGATTACATCCAGTTCCCAAATTCTACCTAAGACCTCGGTTAATCTCATTGCTAATACTGGACCACCATCCTTAAAAATCTCAGGAGTAAACCTGTCAGGGCCTGCTGCTCTCCCTCGCTTCAGATTTCCTATGGCTTTTTCAACTTCGTAAAGGGACGGAGGACTTACATTAACTTGCCATTCAGGTT